TATACAAACATACCAGAGAGAAGTATGAATGTAAAAAAAGTATTGTGGCAAGAAATATTACGTATGAAAACCCAGGAAGACTAATTTATAGACAACAATCTATCCAATACTTATGGACTGCACATCTCAATGAAATAAGGTGAAATATATCATAACAGCGTTTCAAAATTTCGTTTGTCGAGATATTAAACAAACTTTAAAGAACTGTTTCTACTTCATGTGTGGTCCTAGAGAATTGAGGTCAACGCGGACGAGTATTCGATCTAATTAATGACACTATATCTTTAATAACTAGCACTCTGTCGAAATAAAAGAAAACATTTTCATTCCTACGCTTAAAAATTCGTGTGTTTGTAAACTTTGATGTTTTGCTTTTAATTTAAATTAATGATGTTGAAATATTTGCATCTCAATGTTTGGGTGGTCTTGGAATATTTATCATGTTAATACATTGTTCTTAATTAAAATACGTTTTACCACGACATTTTACAATTGTTTTTATAATTATAGCATTTTTAGTGTCACAGCTGGAATCAGAGTTAACAGTAGACAAAAAACACAGGTTTAAAATCAATTTTAATGAAGAATAAATTAGAAGACTGTGTCCTGAAATACTTTTTTCTAGACACCAACATTCTGGTCTGCCAATCTCAAAGCTGGCAACTCTTACCCGTGAAAGTAAAAAAATGTTTATTTTTTATACATGTTTTAAAAATGTTAGCATACAGAAAAATAACGGTTATTCTTTTTAATGTTTTTAGTAGCCTTTTAATTAAATAAAAAGAAATGTGCAAAGTTTTCAGTTATAACGAGAAATATAGCACCCATATGGTTGTATAATTAGTTTATAAAGCTGTACTCTTTCACACTGGCGCTTCGCCAACTGAATTTAAAACCTCGAGAAGTAAACGAAGTTTATATAAAAGTTTTTTATTATAATGCGGGTCCACTATTGTTGTGCTGAGAATCGTAAAAATATCAAACGGTTAATGAAAGCTTTTTATTATCTTTTTAATTGCTTCGACTCTACAATTTTATACAAATGCTTGATGCTTGAACACTGTCTTTGTGGGTGACGTTCTGACCGAATTAAACATATTGCCACGCTAAACAACGGTCACTAAGAGAACTATAATGTTGATGGTACATTTGTAAATGTACCACTATGGGACTGCTAAGTCATTATTAATTATTGTTTCTTAGAGCAGGCGCACACCTTGGACTTATCTATCGCCACAACTATTGTGGAATTGTCTGTCTTCCACAACTAAAAACCGAGTACCTAGGGTGCGCACCTCCACTCCACTCCACTCCACTCCACATAAGCTCATAGGAATCAAAGCGTGACTAAACAGTTCCGCTATAGTTTAGTCAAAGGTGTGCAAGCGCATAGTATGACAGTAAAATTGAAAAAATGTTGGAAACAAACTCAGTACAGAATTCTACCATTTAACGATAACTAAATAATCAATTTACGATTTGAATTGTTAATACCGGCTTGTATTAAACACGTACTGCTTGTGTATTTGAAGTTGTATATTCTAAGCAAACCGTAACATCAACAACTTTCCCCGACACGTTCCCGGACCCCGCCCTAAACAAGTCTCGCCGAGTATTACTTACAGCTCGGGTGCAACGCCAAGTTTCGCAATACTGCATCTTTTGAATTTGCATATTCTTAGCTTATAATCATTTCTTCGTGAGTTTTAATTAAGTTATGTACGTCAGTTTTGTATAAAGGTTAATGCCTGTCTTGTTACATTTTAGTATATTTTTTAAATGTAATATTATTTTTTATTTTTTAAACTGATTATGACGTCATTTGTTTGTGAATGTGACTTCATGATAGTCTGCTATCCATATAAGCATGACAGACGTCCCTGATTCACGACAGAGGATGTATTAAATTAAGCTCGCCCAAAGCGGTTGGAGATTAGCAAGGAAATGTCAATATGTTAGTGTGAAATATGTCGTAGAGCGTCCGACTCGTGAATTGAATAGTTAATAGGTCCGTTTTATTGATGCGATGTTTATTGAATAATAAAATTTATAATCTGTTCCACTTAACGGTCAGTCTGCGAAATTTTTAGCAATCAAATCAATCTGCTACTCTATGATTATATGATATAGTTAGTAGTACTCTGTACTGTAGTACTCTGTACTGTAGTACTCTATGATATAGTTATAGTAACACTGGCAGCGGAAATAAAAAATACAAGTCCCAAGTAACGAGAACTCTGGCAACTCTTGTAGTTCTAGTAGTAAACAGATAATCAAATAAAAACGTGTTTATTTATAGTTTTGTAATCGACTTGTATTCTTGTACGTGATTTAAATATATAATTTTGCTTTGAACTTCAATGGATACAATTTTAATATAAATTTATATTTAGGGCACAAATTCTAGAAATAAATTAATTAATTAGCTTTGAATTTGTTTATAGCTTTTGAGACGTTCTTAGAATAGAAGGGTTATATTAATAACTTATTGTTCTAAGAGATTTTAGCATTACAAAGAGTGCTAGTAACATTTAAAGTGTTTGAGCTTTCTGCACGTGCTTTCAAGTTTGCGGTCAACATCTAAATATAAATATACAAACATTGTTTACATTTTGGACATTAATTATGTAAAGACTATGGTGTTTGTTATTAAATCATAATAGAAATAATTATTAAAACAATAATACCGAAGATGTTATAGATATTATGATAGAAATTCTGATAACATTTCTGATTTTCAAGTTTTAAAGATATCAAAGTAAAGTAATCAAATTGAATCGTTAAGTTAACTTTAACAGTGGTAGTGCCCGCTTTAACATCTTCGCACGAATGGGCCGGCTCGCCCGATGTAATACCACGACCACACAGAAAACAGGCGTGAAGTGCAAGCAATTCCGCATTTCGTCTGATGAGTGTGGTGCTGGAGGCCTAACTTTAGTCCCTTTTCCTTTCCACCCTTTTCTTAAGGGGAAAGGATGGGAGGGAAAAGTGGATTTGACGGTGGAGGAGACGCATAGGAAGGGGAATGTCCTCTTTATGTGCGTCTCATCCTCCGTCAATTAGGGTAGGCAACGAATCTGCAATTGCGGATGTTTATGGGCAGCGGTCGCTTTCCTTTTCGGTGGATTTAGGTGGCCGCTTGCTCGTTTGTCACCTCGTATTATAAAAAAAAAAAAGTTTTCACGTCATTCAAATAATAATCTTCACTTAAATATCTACCTGACTAGCATTTGACAAATCATCTAACCATTTCTAACTTAACAATAACTGTTGGGAAAAAACTGGACACGTTCTGATAACATCTTATTCTGAAAGCTGTTTGACGAAGGACAACAATAACTCAAATGTGAAAACGGCGTTATTAAAAATGTTATTGTGAATAACTCGAGATTTTGTCCACATTTTGCTTTTGCACTTTACGTTGGTACATTCTTACAACATCTTCATTATTGAGAAGACATTATTTTACGCAGTGAAAAATGAAAATGAAAATGATTTATTGATGTAGCAATAGATTATACAAGATAATCAGATGTAGAGACTTCCTTTTAAGTAACCAATAGGCACTTGTGTTAGGAAGTCCCGCTCTTCCGTGTAACAACTTAAACTAGTGCTTAAATTAATACACATTATAGGTTACAAATTAAATCAGTCACACACAATCTGTAATATTACTGTACAGTACAGAAAAAAAAGTAATCGTGCGTTTTCACTACCTAAACCAATTTGTTATATCTGTTCAATTACAATACCTATTAAATAACCATGATGCACTTTAAATAGGATGCCGTTGACTAATCTTGTGCTTTTTTCCGCGATTTGTGGTTCCTGAATGTATAAAATAGGTCCAAATGAGTTGCGTATTTTAAAATGCACATTAGAGGGGCCGGCGGCGGTCGAAGTCAGGAAGTTGAGTCTCAATTTAACTCGACGCAGTCCTTCATAAATATTAGTTGACTGGAACGGGTAGCTTTTTTTTTCTGGTTTCACATTGATTAATATGAAACCGTGATCGCAATATGATCCCTGGTCATGTAGCTATTATATCCTTATGGTGTAGCACGAAAATTTGCTTAAGAGTATTTGACATAGACAAAATTTGTATACGATTTGTCAGTGTACGTCTATAGTGGTGTTGCACAAATTAGATTCCCAAGTGTCTTTTAATTGTGAGTTTACCTTTAAAAATAGTACAGTAAATCCTCTTATCAAGTATTATACGTTAGTACATGTAGGACAATTGGTAAATCTTTAAATAGAATAAGAAATCTTTCGTTGGACAGTATCAGTTGATCCGAACATAATAGGCCTTTATCCCTATTATGGCGAACACGAGAGCAAAAGGGTTGAGCTCTGAAAGGGTTAATATCGAATTTTCCGTATCCTATTACTGATGTGATTAAAGACTGAGTAAGTATTCTTATGATTTTGTTCAAGTAACACAAACAAAAAAACGAGCATAACTATGTATAAATAAGAAGATTAAGGGCTTGTCCCACCAAATTGTAAATTGTCTGATAACAATCCAGCGTGTAAAATATGTGATAGAACAATCTGTTTTTGTAACCTTATCTCACAGTGACGCCATTTTTAAGCTATCTGAGGCTCTATCAGTCAGTGGTGGGACAGGCCCTAAATTCTTATTGTTATAGTATAAAGTGTAAAGATTAAGTGACCGTCGGATTTCTCAAAAATAGCAATGTGATCACTGCCCATATATCATACATTTGGAGTTTGCCTACTTTTAATCAATATAGGACTAGACAGATAACAGGCGACTAGATCTTTCTATGAAAAGCTCCCTACCTATGCGTCCTTACCCCTGCATATTCCACGTCATTCTATCCTGTTCAAATTAATTGTAAACACCTTAATGATTTTATAGCGTTAGTTATTTCGTTTATTGTAAAAAATCAATAGGTTTTTCGTTACAGTACAGAACCCATATTTCGTAACCGCTATTAAATATTATTTTCTCTAACTTTGTTTTTTAATTTCAGGTACAATGGGTCCTGTTTTAATACTTCAAGTATTTCTGGGAGTCGTTGCACCGGCTGTTGCTAGTAAGTATATTTATTACATAATCATTTGATTTTAAAACAAGTGCATGACAAAAAAAGTCAAATTTAAATAACAAAAAAATCTAATCTTAACTGGTATTCATTTAACGAAGTATTTAAAAGTCAATTCATTTAACATTTTTTTTATTGTTTGTTACGGTACTAACTTCTATATAAAAAATACAACTTCGAGTTATAATTACAAATCTTATCAATAATTCCAACATCATTATGATACTTTTAAAGCCCAGTCATTAAATTTAATTGCTGTCTCTATACATAATTATCAACATTTTTAATCCGAACAAAATTGAAAATGTCCATCTCTTTCTTTTGGACTGTAAACCAGTATTATAAAAATCTATTCCTATCAACATTTCCATGAAATTCTTTATCCAATACGGGTTATGTATCAGGTTAGCCGGAAAGCTTCCCTGTATATGCAGTGATGTATTAAGTGTGAATTAGTAAGTACGTGATTTGTTTGTTGTTGTGTCCCGACTTGCAGCGGATACGACAGGTAGCCCACTCACACATTGACAAGGGCTTTTATTGTTGGTCAACAAAAAAAGCGTTCTAATACGGTAGCGTGAGTTCGGAGATGGACTTCGGATAAGGTTCCGGGGATTTGAAATGGAATTTTGTAATACTGATTTAAATTTTGTTAGATAATTTTTATCTTTTAAATTCAGACTTTGGAGTTCATTATCTAGTTTATAATAAATACGTGTTGCAAATGGCAATGTTTTTTTAACTCCGTTAAGTACAAAATACCATTATTAATATTAAGGACCTTAAGAAGGTTTTGCTTTAGAATATAAATCTATTAAACTAAAGTTTCAACTTAAGTGATTTAATACAAACAAATATTATGACATTTCATTACACACATTTATGTATCATATATCGTGATTTCTGCTAACGAATTTGTGTAAGCAAAATTTTTAGTATACAAAAAGTGGTGACACGGAACCCTTTTGGTAAATGTGTACCGAGGCAATTTGTCAGACGGCCAGCGGTGATTATCCGGCCGTCTGTTTGTCGAGGAACTGGACTAGCTCGTTCTCAAGCAGTCGTTATATTTGATGAAGCTACTGTATCAAGGCGAGGAACTTTTAAAGATTGGAATTTATAATATGAATTCATTTTATACATATCTCATTGCGCTTAATTCAAATATGGATTGACACAGTGACTATTTCACCCGCGACTCCCTCCGCGTGGTATTAAAAAATAAACAAACGTAAGCCTATGTGTTCTTCCAGACTATGCTCTATATCTATCTTCCATGGAGATCTGTTCAGCAGTTTAGGGTACAAACTAACAAACATCCATCTAAACTTTCGCATTTATAATATTAATATGATTTAATTACACAAACATATAGGTGTGAAGTTCTATACGTGAATAAAATGATCTAATGTATTGCTTTGTGATGCGAGCATTGGTTCTAATTTCACAGGCAATTAGTTGGCCTTAGAACATCACAAACATTCATACTTTGTATTTATACGAGATTCGTACAAATGAGCTTTCAACTCAGCGATAAAAGATTTTTTTATGTGTTAGTACGGAATTTATATTTCTTTGTGTATTGTACCAAGTTAGAAGGTGACTTATTTAACTTACTTCGTTACGTTAACGTTATTAAAAGTGAAAAACACAGATGGTAAAATATCTTTGTTCCAGAATAATCGTAGTTTGTAAATTGTAGGTAGAACTACAGCTAAAGAGCCGAGAAAAAAAAGAGAGTATTGCGTTTTAATGTCTCGTAGACTTTAACTGTTAATTGTGGAAGTGAACTTATAAAATTAAAATGTTATGTTACATTCTATTTCTTGATATGTTTCTATTCCTATATTCCATCACAGCAATAGAAAGTTGTATAGGTCAATGCAACATTTTCATCGGTGTAATAAAATTTAACCGGGCATGAACTAGTATGCAACATCGTTGAGGTACGATTTCACCACATTTAGCTGTACTATAATTTAACGTACGATTCCACTGCGGATCCAATAATCCACCGTGGAGAATTATAACACTTTAGCTTTACTGCAGGCGGCAATTACTGAGTAATGAATTACGTCGAAACGTGACGGCTGACTCGAAACGAGCCCGACCATTCAGCTCGGCTCGTTGGGCTTCATTACGGGTTATACCAGACGATGCGATACAATCGAATTCCAATCGATTCCTATACCTTGCTCCGTCAACTTGTGGATGCGAGACATCGATGCGTGAGATTCGTCTGTGGAGATTATCGGATCAAGGGTTTGCGATTGTCTATCATTATTTATGATTCTAAGATATATCTTTCTCGTTTAGTTCGTACTCTAGGTCAAGTACTGTTGTTTAAAATGTTATAGTAATAAATGTTGGCTTTTATTGTGTGTAAGTAAATGAAACTAAGCTAATTTTTATTGTTAAACAAATATCATATTCACTGAACTAACGAAATGAAAATATTATACAAGAACTCTCAAATTCAACGACCTGTTGCTTTCCGGTATTCGAGTTTCGGTTGAGTCATATTTCATACATAACTTTGAACAGTATAAAAACTTGTGTTAAACCTGCGATGCCCATTAATAACACTAACTGTTAAAACCCTACGAATATATTAAAGTATCAAAAAGACATTATATCATGTATTTTAAAATGCATAATGAAATTTGATACTATAAGCAGTACTAAGTCGTTTATCTATGAATCTTTCTAGATGTAATTTAATAAAATTTATTATACACTGGCTTTCGCCCGCGACTTCGCCCGCGTGGAATCAAAAAAACTACGTAGCATATGTGATCCTCCAGCCTATCTACATATACATATGATAAGTTTCATCGAGATCCGTTCAGCAGTTTAGACTACAAAATCTAACAAACATTGATCCATCTTAACATTCATTTTAATAATATTAGTATGTTAAGTGTAATAATGTAATTTATACAAGTTATCGATCAAGTCATAGTACAGTGCTTTAGAGCATACTTACGGTAAAACTGGATACAAGCGAAGTGAAACAGACCAAGTCGAGTTTGCCCCTTGGGGACCCTTGGCCAGTTTGCTTTGTAATGTAGCGCCCGGCTAACAAAGCTCGCACTCTAAAAGTGTAAACTAAAACCAAGTGAAAGCTTGAGAAAGAGTTCAAGCTTAGTTACTTTACTTTTATAAATTACAGTTAGCTTTTGTGGTAAACAATGCTAAGATGAAAGAAACTCAGTAAGTACTTAGTTGCAACAATAACTAGTGATTTTACTTTGTTTAAGCATGCTTCTTCAATTGAAATTGTAGTTTTCTTTGTTCATTGCTAATTTTATTAAATTGTATTCGAATGCTTGCCATAATAAAAACAGCCTTCGTTATTCACTGATAAAGTTGCTTTTTAATGGTGAAAAAATTTTTGGAACAGGCCCAGTAGTTTTTAATTTATTACATACAAAAATACAAATCATTCCTTTTTAGAATATCAGTATAGATAAATAGATTATTATGCATTTTCAAATATTATATGTATATGAATAACTAGCTGTTCCCATGCGGCTTCATCCGAAGGTAATTATAAAAACTTTATTTTATCGTTTATATTTGTCAAGTTATCAATTGTAAATGTCAAAATGACATGACAAACCATGGCAACCTTGCTTTCTTGAGCAGCAACTTATGGTCTCTTTCCCACATTAGGGTTTTTATCCAAATTTTTACCCCCTAAGTTTAATGGCATGAAATATGTAACCTAAAGTGTGACGTAAGTGTGGGGCTTTTTATTAAGAAAAGAATTATTCTTAAATATGCTGTAATTGCTGACATCTTAGGAAACAAAGAAGTGTGTGTTTACGCTTTATTATAATAGTATAGATATAGATTTATGTCTATAAAGTATGCTGTAACTACATATTAAAGTAGATACTTATAAGTTCTCAGAAATTCCGCTTAGCAAAGTTCATTTTTATTCGTTTTCTAGTCTCGTGGAATGAATCCCCGCCCGCATGTCGATTCCTTTTTTTAATCCCCTCCTCAAGCTTTACACTGATGAGTAGAAAATTGCTTTAGACCCGGCGTAAGAGAAAAGTGCTAAGAATATGAAATTTTGCATTGTATTCTATTTCCTTTTATTTAAAACTCAGCGTAGACCTATTGAATTAATAAAATTGGACTCTTAAAGCAAATTTGATTATTCATTACATTTTATTAGAAATTCAAAATAAAAATAAATCAATAAAGAAACGGCAACGAGATGAAGACGTTTTAAATTCCTGAGTGTGTCCGTTGCCTTCTAAAAAAATAATAAATCATTCTCGATATATCCCCAATCGACACGATTGAATATGAACTGTATCAACCAGGCTTTAAGTTTATATTCGTCTGATGTAATTGTAGTTAATATTCCGATATAGGATGCGTCATTCGAGATGAGAATGTACTGTAATAACGCATCAAGGACATCGGGAATTGTTTTCGTTTGATTCGCGGCCGCGTTATTGTTAAAGGCAACCTTTTTGTATGCAAACAAAAAGCAAACATCGATGATTTATGAATTCGATAGAGGATTTATCGCTCAATTAAAATGCTACAAAGAATTTCGAATCGATTTTAAAGTTGAATGAATGTTGCGATGCGATTCATAAAGAATTTACACACGTTTTCTTTTTAAAGACGAAAGTGAACGAGGATTCTTTTATAGCAATTATTGATTACATTTATCGATACTTATAAATTCATTAGTTATTTGGTTAAACGACATATCATAAAAGAAACATTGCTATCTTAAGCTTAGCTAGAATCTATAATACTATTATTTATGTATTGAAGTAACGCAAAAACTACTAAGCTGATTTTAAAATTCTATCATCGTTTATAAAGGTAATTTATCTATCAGAATATGGGCTACACTTTTTATTATTTATTAATTTCACGCGGATGAAGTCGCGAGCAACAGCTGGTTATTAAAAATAAAAGAATAAGTGAAATTGGTCCACAAGGCCGGAGATGTGCGGTAACATACATCAAAAACAAACGAATTGATAACCTCATTCTTTTTAGAAGTCGGTTAAAGAGAAAATTTAAATGAACCCGATTCAATTTAATTAAATATTCACGATAGATTAGATTTACACACACACACACACACACACACACACACACACATACACATATATTATCTTTTATCACATTAGATTTTTCAATAGTTGGAGTGAACAAAAACTGAATTCAAAAGTATCAATCTGAATATTGAATTAATTCCAATCCTAAATACATATCATTCGTCTTCAGTATTACAATACGTTATTTAGTATTCAAACATAACAGTTTCTTGTTGTCTTTGAATACTAAATAATGTTATTACAGGCCAACGTGATTACTAATACAGACGATAATATGGAGTGTCGATGTATTTGATACACAGTCTATTAATATGTTAACTATACAATCACTGTTAACTGTCAGTAATTTATTGTCATCCGAATCGACTACATAACATTTTAACATACTAGGATTCTTTATTACTAGATGTAAACAATCATACTAATATTATAAATGCGAAAGTTTAGATGGATGAATGTTTGTTTGAATTTGTAGCCTAAACTGCTGAACGGATTTCGATCAAATTTGGTATAGATGTAGAGGATACTCGTAATCTCGAAGAACACATAGGGTACCTCCTTTTTTTTTAATTCCATGGACAGAGTCGCGTGCCAAGGCTCGTCTTTCATTAATTGTTGCATGTATGACTGTTACTAAGTCATTTCACATAGAAATCTTTATTCAACTAACTATAATCTAAAGGAATCTCAAAGGTTTAGGTTTTTAGGTTCTATAATAACTATACCAATTTTTTTATTCTTATAAAAAGCTTTAATAGTTATTAAAGAATAATTGTACAGTTTTTCATTGGTTAAAGGCATTTTTAAATAAGACATATTTGTAAACTTTTCGCAATTTGCAAAGATGGATTACTTAAATATTAAACATTTCTTACAGAGATCGGTATGGGCTTCACGAAATACCCAGAATCAGTGACTGCACCTGTCGGGGATGAGGTCGTCTTCGAGTGCGCGGTGGAGGTACCCTGTGAGAGACTCACGTGGAGGTGGAAACCTGAACACGAGGAAAGCTGGAGAGATGTGGAGGGTACTAGTGACAATGACAACCTCTCTACACGACTGGTGGTCGATGTTAAAGAAGATACCCCTAATGCGTTATATCAGGTATTTATGTGACAAACTTTATGCTTTCTGGGAGCATGTTTCCTGGGTTGTAGAATAGTGAGTAGTGTCAACTCTGTTATATCTAGTACATTTTTAACACGCGTAATTATTGTGAAATTTAAAAGATAACATTACGAATAATTGCGCGCAAATTTTTGACTAAACTATCGGACAACTGATTAGACTCGCATTGATTCCTATGATCTTACATGAAGGTGTGCACACTACACGATTTTTAGTTGAGCAATTAGAATTGGCTGTGAAACAATCGACAATCGCACAACTGTATTGCGATAGTTTAGTCTAAGGTGTTCGTACGCTCTAAACTTGTCGTTTCTCAACCGAATTAGATTCCATTTTCTGCGTATCTTAGCATACCCAAAAAATATGTTAGCGTTAGTTTCTACTGTGGAAATACTTGTATTGTTATCTCTTTTTAATACAATGAGAGAAGAGGGATGACTATATGTATTTGTTGTGTCACGGCAGTGAAAACTGGCGCTTATAGCTGCAGGGGATTAGATGAAACAAGTTAAGGTAGAAGGTCAGACGATGTGAATCATGTTCGACTCGCAGGTAGAGAAACCTGTATTCGTGATCTCTGGAATTTTATAAGCGGATCCTTGTTACATTTATATTTAGATTATGTAACTATCTTTTGCTCGCGTCTTAGTCCGCGTGAAATTAAAAAAATAGTAAAAGTCAGCCTATGCTACTCACTGATAACGTAGCTTTTTAATGGTGAAAGAATCTTTGAAATCGGGCCAATAGTTTTTGAGGTATTTCATTATATACAAAAATACAAATTATTTCTCTTTAAAACTAGAGAGACTTTGAGGATTTTTTTTTTATAATATGAACATTTTACTAAATTGCATTCGCTTACAAACTATGATTATAATAACATTGATATGGCGTTGAAATTGGATTACATAATTAAAAAAATGCATTATCTATCGACAAAAACAAAAATAAATACAGCCAGCAACCTCCGACTTCCAGGAATTTAATATGTTGCAGTAGTAGTAATAAATACGTCACTATCGGATATAATATTAATGCTTCTAAGCATACATTTCGCTACACTACAGTGAGAGTGAGAACAGAATAGTTCATTTACCAGAATTCAAATACTCCTATTTTAGTTTACGACAATACACTAATTGACATACCGATATTGGTTTTGTTACACAATCTAATAAAAGGCAATTCGAAATTGGTAACCTAACAATTGAGTGACAGGAGGATATTTATTTAGAAGGGTAATATGTATGCCAGTTCCATTATCTCTTGTAGTTTAAACTGCTTAATTATTTTTATGGAATTAAAAGTCAAACGAGTTTATAATTTGATGCGATGTATGTCATTTGATAAATGGGCAATACCAAAACAGATGTGATCGGAATTTATAGAGGAGGTGAAGATTGACGTGTAATTCGATTGATTTTAGTACAGTAAGTCGGGATTGGTTCTTTAAATCACATTTTATACTAATGTTAATTGTAATTGCAGTGTGTAGCGTGGTACGGAGCTATTAGCGTAGCATCCATCCCGGCTCGGCTGGCGATCGCGAAGCTTGATTTGAGCAGGAACATAGCAGAGAAGCGAGTGATAGCCGCTCCTTTGCACAATACAGTGGTGCTGCATTGCAAGGAGCCGTTCTCTGAACCACCTGCTGTGTTAAACTGGTGGAAGGAAGACGGAAAGGTGAATAAGATTTTTATTAGTATGATGTCAAAGTCTTTAAGTCTCTTTTAGTATTTTTTTGAATGCATCTAACAAGTATCTGGTGCGGCGGCGGGCCAAAATGCGCCCCCAATGATATGCCAGTGCGTGGCAGGTCTTTCTAGACCCACCAGCTCCAGGATACATTAAATTGCTATAATAATGTGTACAGTTTATGTAATGTAATGTATACACTTGAAATAATCCTTTCGCACTAGCGAGAGGGTCATAGTATTCTTCGTCAGCACTAGGTTAAGTACCGCGTCAGGCCGATATCGGCCTGTTATGCAGTGAACCTATTAATCCGTTATTAACTAAGTGTGAATGATCATATCTTTATTAATAGCATTACTTGTAAATTGGCGAATATGATAATGTTTAATGTATGTACTACAATATCGGTCGAAATACTTAACATATGATGTCATCTTTTATCGATCGGGTCATTCGTTGGAGCACTCAGAGGTGAACGTGTGGGTCGTTACTTTTCGCAATGACATAAAACGCAATTTCGTTTACATTTATTGGTGGAAACGATTATTGGATTAACAATTATGGATTAAAAGAATGAACGCTTTGATAAAAGAGCACCTTGTTTTAAAAGAATAGGATATGTGAGATTCTAGTATATTATACAATACACTAAAAGCGCTCTTACTACTTAGTAAGAGTGATGCCACAATTTATACCAAATTTTATATTCCAGACAAAAAAGCAACTAGACACACCACACGGTGTATTAGTACTGCACAACGTGTCTACAGCCGACAGCGGTGAGTACGGCTGTACTGCAACCAATGAACTGAGCGTGCAGACTGTAGACCTGCCGGAAAGGACCTACTTGAAGGTCCAGCACGAAGGGAACGGCCAAGAGAGGTACGTCTTTTCGTTTTCTAGAATCTTAGATGTCTATGGCAAGTACTTTCGTTTTTTTCCCTTATCTTAAATCGATATCAGAGACTAATTCTAGTCACTTTTACGTATTCAAAGAATGGAAGGATAAAGTCGATGCCGTGGGAGGCGGGTGAATACGGGTAATTCTTTTTTCTGTACATCCCCCTTTGTTCTTTAAAGACTTCTTATTGCAGTTTCTTATGGGCATCGACGGTTTCGTTATTTTCGTTAGAATAATAAGAATTAACCATAATGTCTTAACAGATTTATAGAGACCGAAGACTATGTGGGTACTAAGGATTCTGAAGGCACTCTAACAGTGTCTGTGAAGATAGACGGCGCCTTACGCTTGTGGTGCGGCTCAGTGGGCACTCCGCCGCCGCGTGTCACTTGGACCAGAGATGGACTCAAACTGTCTAACAGAGATGCGTTATTTATACAGCCGTTTACTGTACGAGACGAGGTACATACGATCTTTTGATTAACTATTTTTTTTAATTGTTAAGTGTTATTGTTTTGTTAACGTTTAAATCTTACACAAAACTCATTCATAACTCACACTTAACTTGTAAAACTTTTACATAAAATTGTTTCATTTGTAAAAAGAGTAATGTTTATTATTTTTGTTATTAATTTCTTTATGGTCAATAATGCGAGGGTCTGTTTAACCATAGGTACCACCCTAGTAAGGACTTTCCCTGCCCATAGGGAAAAATCAAGAAAGTCAAATTTAATCGTCATGTTAAATTTGTTGCCTACCAAACTCAAACTTAATTTTCTAGTTGAAAAGACAGGAAAGGTCTTACCAAATATTCGTGATATCAACTCTCCATACAGCGTCTTCTAGAGACTATGTCTTACGTTCAAATCTTGTCGATAACATAAGTTATATCTTCCAGGGTGTTTACTCCTGTTCCGCTAATGGTATCCGACGGTCATGGAAGGTGGTGGCATTATTCCCCCCACATTGGGAGGGGACAGCTGACAATGTGAATGCTAGCGAAGGAGCCAGTGCCAGGGTCACCTGCGGCCTGCCGTATGGACAACCAACGCCCACTGTTCATTGGCTGCTAAACGCTGAACTGATGAGAAACGGGAAAGGAATAAAGATGAACGGTAAGCAAATAATTATAAATTGGTTAATATTTCAGGCGTTTTTAATAAAGCAGGTGGTTAATTCAATGTGACAACGATTTTTTCATCATGCAATTGAATTCAAGGGATGATAACCTGCAAATAGGCTCCCATGCAGTTTTTGGCTTAACTCCACTTTTTTTTTCTCTTTAATTTTTATAGGGACTTTGGTTCCTTAGAATATGTCAGTCCCATAATACCTTAAACTAAATACCGAAACCATACAATTATAAACAAACACAATACAAATAAGAAAGTGAAAAATAAATAAAAAACAAAAATAGTATTACTAAATGCTATAAAGCCTTTAACACCATGTAGCGGACGAAGTCCGCTAGGTCCGTCAGTGGTTCCGCACTCCACTTTTTGGAAGACCAAAGAATGAAAGGCGATAAGAACAAAATTGTGCTCTCGGTTGCTTCTCGAAGGTCGTGTTCAAGAAATATTAATTGCAAGCACTAAATCTTGTAGTGTCATTTCTTAAGTCTACTTTAAAGGTTTGCTTTGGCGTTCAATTAATTATATCTATGAGTCGTAATCACTTTGCTCTTTAAGCAAAATAAAGTGGCCAATAAGTCTACCAACTTCTCTTTAAGAACGTGCCCACATTTGACTAAAATATCGCACAACTGTTTAGTCTCGCTTTGATTTAATGAGCTTATATGGAGGAGATACACGATTTTTAGTTGTGCAACTAAACAGTTGAGGCCGCAAAACAATCGACAATTTCACAATTGTGCGTTTGTTTATTCAGAGGTGTGCCTCCGCTCTGAAGAGTTGAAAAAAGTATTTTCTCCTTGATAATGTAGAAACGGATCTGTACATCGAGCACGTGGAGAAGCGCCACGCGGGCATAGTCCAGTGCGTGGCGTGCAATTCGCTGGCCTGCGCGTTTGACGCGGCCATGCTCACTGTCGTACCTGTGCAGATATCTGATCAGGTAAATGGTGTAATATCCATACATTATATACTAAGAATGTCCACAATTATAAATATCACATGGTTTATGCGCCACTGCGGACTTTATAGCTTACTAGCTATTGCTCGCGAAATTGTCTGCGTGAATTTAAAAAACAATAAAATGTTACTCACTGATAACATAGCTTTTTAATAGCGAAAGAATGATTGAAATCGGTGAAGTAGTTTTTGAGTTATTTTAATACACCTAATAATCCAAAAATATAATTTTCCATCTTGTAATATTAATATAGACTAGCTGTTCTCCGTTCATCCGCAAGTTTTACATTTTTTTCCAAATTATTCACATCCCAAATTGAACAATTTGAAAATATATAGCCTATAACGTGAGAGTGTAGGCCATTTTTTAAACGTATTTTTCAAAAATATGCAGTGATTGCTAAAATCCTACATCTATACTAATATTATGAAGATGAAATATTTGTATTTTTGTATATATTGAAATAGTTAAAAAACAGCTGGACCAATTTTGAAAATTCTAATTTACCATTAGAAAGGTAATTTATCTGTGAGTAACATAGGCTGCATTTTTTAATTTCACACGGACGAAGTTGCGAGCAACAACTACCATACTAAAACTAATATTATAAATGCGAAAGTTTAGATGGATGGATGTTTGTTAGCGTTTGTAGCCTAAACTGCTGAACGGATTTCGATGAAATTTGGTATAGATATAGAGGATAGTCTGGAAGAACACATAGGATACTCACTTTTGTTTTTTTCAATCCACGCGGGCGAAAGCTAGTAAGAAATAAATGAGTGTTTACGCTTTATTATATTAGTACTCGTATAGATATCAGTGTTTATAGCTTATAGACTTTGGTGTATGTATAATCCAGTTATATGTCTAGGAGTATACGGCGGAGACGCCAAAAGTCCACGTGCCATCTCAGCCACCGAAACGACACAATAAGAAGAATCCGAGAAAACACAAAGGTAAACCTTTTTCTCTAAAACATTCGTCGTTTAAACGAATACATAGTAACAATTTCACACTTTCATACTTATGTTATAGATAAATGCGAAAGTTTGGATGGATGGAAGTCGCAGGCAATAGTTAGTCTGCTATATATTATATATAATAAAATTGGTGTGTCTGGTTGTAATATCAAAAGAGAAAATTCCAGATTTCGGCAACATCGTGTATTTGCGTTGCTGATGAAAATCGCATTTATTTTTTTTTGTCTATCTGTCTGTCTGTCCGCAAGCCGCATTGTTCCGGGTAATCTCCAAAACGGCTGGGCCGATTTCGACCGGACTTTCTTTGAAGGGCAGCAGACATAGACAGGAATATTATAGGCTACTTTTTTATTTATTATTGCGCGGACGAAGTCGCGGGCAACAGCTAGTTGTTAAAATAAAATTCATAGATGAGTAATTTGTTGCAGCTGTGATGATACCTCCGTCGCGGCCCAATATCACGCGGATGTCAGACGAGAGTGTCATGGTGTCATGGTCCAACGTTAAAGAGGGACTACCTATACAGTTTTTCAAGGTAAGATTTAATTACTATGGGTAGCTTGAAGCGCATCTTACTAATATTATAAATGTGAAATTTTAGATGGACGGATGTTTGTTAGAGTTTGTAGCCAAAACTGTTGAACGGATCTCAATTAAATTTGGCATAGACGTAGAGGACAGTCTGGAAGATCACATAGACTACTCACTTTTGTTTTTCCTACTTCTACGCGAACGGAGTCGCGGGCGAAAGCTAGTATTAAATATTCCAGTTATTAAACAAATAAGCATTTACCGGATTCTTCACTCATAGACCCCTTTCAACATTTTATTGGTTACGGTAAATTCTGTTAAGTTTATATCATATGCCTTTGCATTTTCCTTGCCCGAGGGGTCCAATTGGAATACTTTGGAAATCATTGGCCTACACAATCTTTCTCCTTACTTCTTACTAATCTTACTTATACTAATATTATAAATACGAAAGTTTAGATGGATGGATGGATGTATGTTTGTTAAAGTTTGTAATCTAAACTGCTGAACGGATCTCGATGAAATTTGGCACAATTGTAGAGTAAAGTCTGAAGGAACACAGGCTACTTACTGTAATTATAATTCCACGCGAACGAAGTCGCGGGCGGAAGCTAGTATATGTTTAAGAAAGCAATAAAAAAGTTCAAAATTCTCAGGTGCAATACAAGGAAGTGAGTAACTCCAGCAACTCCAGCGGGCAGTGGCACACCGCTAACTACGACATACCTTCTTATATCCACGCCTTTGAGATCGACGGATTATTACCCGATAGATTTTACAAGTGAGTTTTTTTATTATTTTAAACACTATTTGTTTATACAAAACCAAAAAAACCAGTCTGACTCTTAACACTAAAGGGATGAATCCAAATGGAATGATATTTCACTTGTTAGAATTCTATTTAGCGAAAAATCTCATTTCTTTTTATAAATCCAAAAGTTTAGATGGATGGATGTTTGTTAGAGTTTGTAACCTAAATTGTTGAACGGATCTCGATGTTTGGTGTAGATGTAGAGGATAATCTAGAACAGATACGCTAGTTATCTTTTATTCCACGCGGACGGAGTCGTGGAATAAAGCTAGTAACTTATTTTTTGTAAAATTTGCACATATTTTATTACATTACATAAGCAATACAAATAAATTCTACTAAAGCATTTCAACCGATATTTTCAAAAGCTAAGTTTAAATAATATTCATATACAGGGTGTATTCAAATATTTAAAGTAAGTAATGCAGATGCACCAATTGTTTCAAATGTTTACTGTCGAAAATATGATATCACTTTAAAGTTACTCAACTTGAAATAACATTTCGTCTGGAGCGAGTTTTGTTTCACTAAAATCAAATACATTTATATATGTTTCTATACTAATATTATAGACTGGCTTTCGACCGCGATTCCGTCTTAGAGGAATTAAAAAAAAAACAAAAGTAAGGAACCTATATGTTCATCCAGACTATCCTATACATCTATGCGAAATTTCATCGAGATCCAGTCAGTAGTTTAGGCTACAAATTCTAACAAACATCCATCCATCTAAACTTTCGCATTCATAATACAGTAGAACCTTGATAACTTAAACCTCGGTAACTTAAAAACCTCTATAACTTCAAAAAATAGTATGTTCTCTTCCCATCAGAGCTCAAAACCTCTACAACATAGACCCTTGATAACTTAAAACCTCTATAACTTAAAATATTCAGTGTTTCCCTTGGACTTTAACTTATTAAGGTTCTACTGTAAAAGTAAGATGGAGGTAAATAAAGAAGGAAAAGAAGATCTCCCCTGCCTTATCCTACTCCCGTAGGGTCGGCGCGCCAAGTTTTCGTCCTGCAAAGCACTCTATCATACGTCATCTCAGTCATCACTCCTTTCTTGATCATGTCACCTTTCACGCAATCCATCCATCTCTTTCTAGGTCTACCTCTACCGATGTACCCCTCCACATCCAAGAAGATGATTTTGTTTGAATGCATTTACTCTCCGTACTGAAACCATTTGAAAAATTGTTTATATCCCGTGCTTACAGGTTGATATCAGTCTCTTAAAATCCTAGGTTCCGTATAGCGGCTGTATACTCCAACCAGGATAACAAGTTAGGTCGCAGCAGCGCTCGCTTCTATCTGCAACGCGGCGGCCAGAGCCCGCGTGCGCCCGTACTGAGCAAGGCGACTGCCACCTCGCCGCACAGTATACAATTGGAGTGGACTGTAAGTATAATTCTATAGAAACTGCTCGCAATTTGACACAAAACTATTTATATTACCTAAACTGTATACAGTTTGTAAGGTTAGGTGGAGGGACACACTCGTGAGTGCTATTCAGTGCCGTTCTCCACTATACTTTTGTATATTGCGTATTGTCTTTTGTAGGCCACTATGCACATTTTAACAGTGGTAGAGCCTGCTTTAACATCTTCATACGAATGGGTCGGCTCTACTTCAGCAAAACCACGACCACACAGGCGTGAAGTGGAAGCAATTCCGCGTACAGTCTGATGAGTGTGGTGCCGGAAGCCCAACTTTAGTCCCTTTTTCTCATAACAATAGGATGGAAAAAGAACGTGGATTTGATGGCGGAGGAGACGTATAGGAAGGAGAAATTTACTTTTTATGTGCGTCTATTCCGTCGATTAAGGGTAGGCAACGCATATGGTATTGCGAATATATAGGCAGCGGTCGCTTCGCCATTTCGGCAAATTCAAATCGCTTGTTCGTTTGCCACTTTATGAGATAAAAAAGTAAATGCAGTTTCTCGTTATTGTAATGGTTTATTTGCTACTTTTTTGGTTTTAAAGAGGTGTTTGTGCGTGTAGTGGTCTAGGTCCGGCGGCGTGGAGGCGGACGGTTTCTACGTGTACTACCGCGCGGTGTCGTCGGCGGGCGAGTACAACAAGGTGTCTGCGGGCAACGCGCGCGCGCTGCGCCTCGACCACCTCGCGCCGGACACCGCCTACGAGCTGAAGGTGCAGGCTTACACCGCACACGCGCCCTCCGACTTCAGTGCGATACTCGTAAGTCACTCACACATCATTCACTACATACTTTCATTATAACATAGTCTACAATTGGATAGCTTTTATCTAGGATTTTATCTAACGTCGACTCTGTTGTTATTCTGTCTTAAAAGTTTATTCCATCCTTACTTACATTACAATTGTTGTTATAATGTAATGTGTGTTGTAATTTCACCTTTACAAGGCTGTAATCACAGGCTTCCTAAATACAGACATGTTTAGTGTAATGTAAACGCTTGAACTTTCCAAAATAAATCCAAAAGGGACAAATGACATTGTCAACCAGTGAATCTTCCTATTACTATCATATCGATAATATAAATGCAAAGAGCTGGTGTGACTTGTGATCCAAGAATGCCTCTTAAGCTTAAGGGACAGATGTACAAGTCCATCATAAGACCTGTAATGTATGGATCTGAATGTTGGGCCACCAAAGTTGCGGATGAAAGGAGATTGCATGTGGCTGAGATGCGTATGTTAAGATGGATGTGTGGTGTGACAAGAATGGATAAAGTTAAGAATGTATGTATTAGAGGAAGTTTGAAAGTAGCGCAAGTGGTGGAGAAATTGAGAAGCAAAAAGTTAGTGTGGTATGGACATGTTACGCGACGAGACGATGAGGACATAAACCAGAAAGTGTTAAGAATGAATATGGATGGCTACAAAGGAATAGGAAGACCGAAGAAAGTATGGATGGATTGTGTGAAAGAGGATATGCTTAAGAAAGGAGTGGTTTCAGATATGACGGTTGATACACATGTATGGAAGAGCAGCACCTACTGTGCCGACCCTCCATAAGGGATAAGGGCAATTTGATGATGATGAAATGCAAAAAGCTCAAATGGATGGATAAATGGATGAATGTTTCCTTAAGTGTCTAGCCTGAACGGCTGTAGATAGTCTAAAGGAATACTTAGGCTTCTCACTTTTTTTTGTAATTCCACGCTGACTTACCGCATGCGAAAGCTAGTTGAATATAATTTCTCAATTTCATTATATTATAAAACCATGTTTTTTTTCCAGGACGCGAAGACACATAAGTCCTTAGTGCCAGCAGTAGCCAGCAGTACGGAGGGTGCGGGTGCGGGGGGTGCGGCGGGTGCAGGGGGTGCGGCGGGCGCGGGGGGTGCGGAGCGCGCGCCCGCCGCGCTGGTGACGGCGGGGGGCGCGCTGGGGGTGGCCGCCATACTGCTCATACTGCTCGTCACTCTACTGCTCTGCCGCCGCGCTAAGAGACCCAGCAGTAAGTATAACATAATCTTCAATACATATGGAACATGTCATTTTTATTGTCTGTGCAATCTTAGTAATTATGATTTTTGTATCATGGCAACACTTTTTTGTTAATTTACTTTTTTCTAACACGTTTTTTTTTAATACAATCACATTTTTAGTTAGACTTCTTGTGTATCTACTTATTTTACACGTTTGATTGTTATCAGACAATTTGATGGGACAGGCCCTAAACGTTATTTAATTAATTCCCGTTACTTGGACTAAAGTAACGAGGATTCGAGTAACTAATTTCAGTATATTTTATGGGGTCCGTATTTTGCACCGATCTTGTCAAAAACCTTTTCTTCAACTTGCTCCTGTTACAAAGCAAGTTGAAAAAAATTATTCGTTTCTGTACATGTTTTAGTACATTTTCGTTCTGTTTCAGAGGAAAAGGTGTCAGCACCGGACACGGGTAGTAACGGCTATGTACCAGCGAAGGTGCCGATTACTATCACTGCCAACCCTTTACATGCCGAGGTAGATATTACTATTTCATGACTAAATAAAATAATTCTTTATTTCAAAGTATCATCTCATAAACTTATTAGTAAATATCTTATATTGGATTATACTACACAATACTTATACACGATACTTTACTACACAATACTAGCTTTCGCCCGCGACTCCGTTCGCGTGGAATTAAAAAAACAAAAGTGTGTAGCTTATATGTTCTTCCAGACTATCCTCTACGAAAATTTTCAATTCTGTGCCAAATTCCATCGAGATCCGTTCAGCAGTTTAGGCTACAAACTGACAAAGATCCATTCACCCAACTTTCGCATTTATAATACAGTAGAACCTCGATTACTCAAACCTCAGTAACTTAAAAAAAATAATATGATCCCTTCCCAGAGCCCAGAACCCCTACAACATAGACCCTTGATAATTTGAAACCTCTATAACTTAAAATATGTTGTGTTTCCCTTCGACTTTAACTTATTAAGGTTCTATAATATTAGTAAGATTACATATAGATTATAAAATTCTGTGAGGAGAGTGCAACTTTAGACAACTCTTAACTTATTATGAACTTAGTTATGGTAATGCCTTTTCTATTTTTTTTTTGTTATTTTTAATGCTGGACAGAACGAAGAAAGGTAATATTTGTATTAATTTTCCTGTTTAAAATTTTGACTGTCACGATTTATAATTGCGTAATACTTAAATACGTAAAGGAACAAAAGTCTATATTATTTGTTCTACATCACCTTTGTCAAATGTCATCAACATCCGTTCATCAGTTTAGGCTTCAAACTCTCAAACTTCCATTCAAACTTTCGCATTTATTATATTAGTAAGAAGTTAGATTAATATTGAAAAAGGAAATAATTAATGTAGATATTCCTTTTTCCAGTTTTTGTTTTCAGTATTAATTAAAATATGTAAGAAATTATTTAAAATTAAGTTATTTCTAGGGAGGTGAAGCAGGCGTAGAGATGTCATTCCTCCATAACAACAACACGGGCAGTAGCGAGGAAACACCACATTCGAGGAAGAACGGCCCCGCGCGGCAATACGTATAGTTATAAACCTTAACACCATACTAATAAAGTCTATATTGCTTTGACAGTGAATTGTGATACGACCGTTTACAACAGTACAAAATATTTATTACTCTAATAGTAAAGAGTGTATAAGGTAAAGGTAAATATCCAATGAATGGAATGTGCAAATTCAATTTCCAGTACGGAAATGTGTACAGTGTAACATTACCCTTATCAATCGTGATTTCCAGTGGAAACACACCTTATTATTTATTACTGACCTTGTTATTGTACTTAGGTACCTGTATATCGTAAAAGATTTAGAAATAAAACTATTTTTAACGGAGACATATGTATTGATAAAATAGGTACTGAAGAAGACTAGAAAAAAGTGATGACGTCGACAATGTGTTCTAATTTTGAATTATTTAATTTCTTCTTCTTTTCTAATGGCTTGTCTCTAGTAACGTGTAAAAACTCCTTGAACAGTACCTGTAGTTATTTATACGGACTTTTGCAAGTGAAATAAAGCATTATATACTCGGAAAAGCGATGTTTGCTTTTATTTGTTTTTAAATGCGAAATTTGTACGATCTGACTGTAATTTAGAGTATTTAAGTGAAGTTAAATAGATTTGGCGATGTACTTATATTTTTATGGATTGTATTTAATTGTATTCTAAGGTTGTGATTGTATATGCATTTATGTGTCTGAAATTGTATGTTGAAATACATATAACTACACGGTACATAAGAAAAACTTCACCAGTCTTTGTTATAATAATAATTATGGTTTATTATTAATAGAATATTTGCATCAAGAATAACAAACATTTGTCAAATACGTCAAAACTTGTAGCAGTCTACAAACACGTAGCTGCTACGGTGACTGCTACGCCACAATGTAGCACCAACTGAAGAGCCATTAGGCGCAGTAAACCTCTACATAGCGATAGATTCTAGTGTTATATGCTATTCTATATACCCAGTTTGTAAGTACATCATAAAATTTATGCATTTTCAAAGTTTAAGTTATAATCTTAAGTCATAAATGCCACCAATTCGTTTGTCCAGTTCATTTCTTTAGTAAAAATTACAATAGCATGCGAAACGTTAAGGTACAGTTGGGAAAATCCGCGGTATTCGACTTACGGTATTGTTGCTTTAAACCAAACTCCGCGCCTAACAAATGAATATAAAAATTCAGAAAAATTGTACCTTAAAATCTCACCTATATCAGCAATGGGGAGGAGGTTAAAAGTTGACAAAAATGTCATGTGAATGTTACACCTCGTAACATTACACCGCGTAACGTTATTCAGTGCTCATACATAAATGAAACTTCCTTATGTACCGTTCAGTTATTTTAATATTAAATTGTTGATTGAAAAGTATAATAGTATTATTATTTAAGTTTTATAGAAGTTAACTTGAAGTATAAGAGCTTGGACATTTTTGATACGTTTTCTCGCCTAATATAGCCGGTTCACATTATTCCAGTCCAGCGATCGAAATCAACGATGGATTAGAAATGGAAAAAATTAACGCCGACAGTCGAAATCAATGTGTTCAGTTGTAAGCCAGCGCTGAATTCGATCGCTGGACTGGAATAATAAAAACCGACATTATGTATAAGTTCTAATTGTAAATGCTTAGAATTGGTAGACGTAACTTGTTGGAGCGTATTCAAATCTCAATTTTTATATCGTGATAATGGCATTTGTATATTTTTATTTACTGTTAGTGCCTAAATATCAAGCTACTCAATACTTTCGTATAAGACTGAGATGTTTAAAATATTAGGATTTAGTTTATTATGTATGAAAATATAATATTAACACAAAAATTATTTTGTTTTCTTCCTATTACCTCGCTATTTATTGAAACACTAAACAATGGATTTCAAAATGAACACAAAAACATTGTAAATTCATCAATTAAATTATAAATTTATTTATTAATCATTAAACATTTTACTTAGTCATAGGAAAGAGCTAAATAATTTCGTTTCTTTTAAAAAAATATCCTGTCATACTAATACTAATATTGTAAATGCGAAAGTTTAAATGGATGGATGTTTGTCGAGTTTGTAGTCTAAACGGCTGAACGGATTTCTATGAAATTTGGCATAGACGTAGAGGATAGTCTGGAAGAACACATAGGATACTCATTTTTTTTTAAATTCCACACGGACGCAGTCGCGGGTAAAAACTAGTTATAGAATAAAAGTTGCAGGAAACTGCAACGAATTCAACGTATAATAAAAAGGAAGGGACAAAGTCTGTGAAAGGTGTTTTAAATTCATCGTGTCATCTGTCAGATGCTCCCGGCACGTCGCTAATTTGATTCTCGTATTGTGTCCTATCTCGACTACTTTTTACATGATCTAGAGTTCTTAAACTCGACAATTCCCGCAATAGGCAAATACCCAGGGCCGAAAAAAAATATTTTATCAGTGTCAACGCCAGGTGAGGGAGGAAAGTCCTCGAATGGACGCCGCGAAAGGGGACTAGGAGCGTAGGATGTCCACCCAGGTGGACCGACGACTTAGTGTGCACGGCGGGAAGTCGTTGGATGCGGAAGGCAGAGGACAACAATCTATGAAAGGTATTGAGAAAGGCCTATGTCCAGCAGTGGGCAGATAAAGGCTGTTGATGATGATGATGATACATATTTGGTGCAAGACCAAGGGCATTGGGAACCCAAGGGCGTCGCTAGTCCAAAGTCTAGGTAGTGGAGATCTATCATCAATATGGTATTTGTATTTCTAGGGGAGGCAGCTTCGTTTCATTCGTCATTGTCTGATAATTAAACGTGTAAAATATGTGATGGAAATATCGGATTTTCTTCCCTTATCTGACAGTAAAGTAATTTTTAAGCTATCTGAGCCTCTATCAGCCAGTGTTGGGACAGGCCCTTACTGATACAGATTATATTATCAAGCGAATAAGTCAAAACTAGATGAGGAAATTACTATGAAATAAAATTAGATCACGTGAATATTTGCGCATCATAGAATGTTTGAAGAGTTTAAAAGAAGCTAGAAACTTTACCGTAACTTTGTCATTGCCAATTATAATGTTTGCAATGAAATTGAATTAAATTACCTTCAGTATCTTTAGGGAAGTTATTTAACAAAATTAAGAATAAAAGTTACTTGCAAACTCACGGAAAATATTACTGAAGCCTTTTATTTAAGTGAAAATTCACTGTGAAAATTCACAGTGAGGACTTTACCTCGTTAGGAGTTGATAAATTCTTTATATTTGTATCGTTATTTCATAATGTAACATTTATTTTTATACAGTGAAGAGAAGTTGTTTAAAATTAATTAAAACTACTAGTTCTGTTTAGTGGAATTGCTAAGAATATTTCAAGTAGTTTAAATAATATATAGTTTTCAACGTTACGAAACTACATAAATTTCGTTTCTTATTATATCGTTGGTAAGTTTGTGCGAGCGTTAATTTCTGTGTAGAGATTGCGGAGGAAACAATTACAAACAGTTGTGCAAATGTGTGACGTCACAGGGCCCTCTAATAAAGTTTAACGGAAATTGCTTCGTTAATCCTCGGGCTTCCCTCGTACGCTCCGCAAACATTTTTAATTGTTAAAAGTTTTAAAAACTTAAACATCGTCGAGATAAAACTGCAGTAGAAATTTTTTATGTTCTTAGAATAGATACAAGCTTCCACAACTAGTATACTATGAAAGAAAAAAGTAGCGTCGGCTAATATCTTATTATCCCAGTTTATTATGATAGGTATTTTATATTCGAATCACAGCATTCTTCAAGTTAAATGACAGAGATCAACTCTTGGTTTTGTGGCTATTATCTCTTTGATTGAAATTTTAAATATCAGACTAAAATAACTTGTTGGTTTTACATATATCATGTCTCACAAAACTAATTAAAAATAGAGTAATATCGGTTTGTTACTAGCGTTTATTTTTACTAACAAACTTTATTTCGCGAATAAGACGTATCCCTGAATTTTTCTTTCTTTTCCGTAAATAATAGTGTATGAAAAAAAAAAAACTTAGATAACTAAACTTTTCTAGTTAGAAGTTTTAGCCAACGAGTTTCAAAGTTGATTTCCAATGTGGCTAGTATTGTGTTTGACATCTATTTAACACTGTTTTGAGTTCTCTAACTTATGGAGTTTGTTTTTTTCCTCAAGAAAATATCGTTGTTTACTTATGGTACTAGCCTTTACGAAACATTTTTTGGGAATGTGTTTTAGTAGGAAAAATTTACTCTTGAGGATTATTTAAGTAAGCAACAAATGTGCAGCAGTACATGTTCATATAGTAAAGACCGACGCCGTTTATAATTTCTTTTTTCTACATAATCTATATGTCGCAATCAGAAAAAGAAATCAATTTGAATTTAGGACATAATTAGAACACAAGCTCCGAAAAGCGACTTTCTAGAGAACTTGAATAATTCTGAAAATAGGAATCGTTGCGATGATTATGCTTGAACTATCTTAGCTTTTTGTGTGATATCCTGACTGAGAAGTATTGTGAGTGTATTCCTGGAATCCGACTTAGACGTGACCGCCCACATGTGGTCTCGAGTGGTAGTAATTCTGATATCGTGCTAGCTCAAGCCGTTATATATAGATAGGGCTTATAACTAAAATGAAATGATATAACTGTCTAAGAAAATGAAATGAGAATTTTAATTTTACCTGCCAATCAAAAAGTCTATTTACGTCTTAAAGTATCGTTTGAGTAGCTATTGTATACAGAAAATGACGTAGAATAATAATGATTGTTTGGTTGTAATGTAAATGTACAAAATTACAAACAATGTTTTTGAACGGAGCGGTATTTCTGGGTATAATATCATCTGTATCAACATTGATGTTTTATTAACTTTAGTTCGTTAACCAATCAGTTTAAAATAACAGCCCGTATTGTATTAAATCAAATGTATTTATAAATAGAATGAACTGAGTCGAGAAATTCTGTTACATTGAATAGTAGATTAATATTTTGCTTGTCAAAATGTACCGACATATTTTATTGACATTTTAATTTAAAAAATTGGAATAAACAAGTGTATTTTTGCCATGTTTATCTCAAGTAAGCATTAAGGTACGCATTTAAATATATCTTTTTGACATTTTTGCTATGTAAAATAGTTTAAAACTAAAAAGCTCAACTACAACTCAACTCAACTTAGTTAAAATAAAGAAAAATGTTCTCTGGCAGATGTAAAAATGTATAATTATTCCGCCCGAGGCGTTCGTCGTAGATTTTACTAAGGAAAAGAAATAACATAGTATATTAACATAAGACTGCTTGAAAATAAATTTTACAACTGGTTGAAAATAATATTACATTTAAATAGGAGGGAGGTATAAAGCAATAACGAATAAAATTGCGGATATACATTATAGCATATGACTAAATAATAGTCAAGAATGACTTTGTAAGATTTTTGATACTAAGAACGGTGAGGCAAGAAAGAAATTTTATTTTGTAAG